AGACTTAAAAGACGTGAAACTTGTAAGTCGGAATGCGGCTTTAGCCGAACTTGGAATGGACTCTATGATGGCCGTTGAAATCAAGCAAACTCTTGAACGAGAATTTGATATTTTTCTCACTGCACAAGAAATAAGAAATCTTACTTTTGCGAAACTCATGAATATGTCTGATGGAAACGTCAGTGACGATACTATCCATAACAAAAAGAAACTCGACACAGAGGAGTCAAATATGGGATATCTATTTGGTATTCTAAAAAATGAAGATTTTATTTCACAAACCTGCTTTGATCTCCCTACTAAAAGAGAGAAAGCTACAACTGAAGTATTTCTTATACCAGGTATCGATGGATGTGTAACTGTATTTAATCGTTTAGCACCAGATATTAAATTTTCAGCAATGGCCTTGCATTATAATACAAACAACATCGATTCTACAACAAACGTTTTATCTGAAACTACCGATCATCTTACAAACGTACGCATATCGTATTAATAATTTTGTACTATGTTAATCGAGAATTATTTTTATTTAAGAGAGAAATTTTATTGAATATATTTAATATTTTTATAGCATATATTACCGAAACTAAGAGATGGAAAAGATTTTGTAATAGTAGGATACTCCTTTGGAGCTATTATCGCATTTGAATTAACAAAAAAATTGGAAGCTATGAATTTTAAAGGCCGACTAGTTCTCATCGACGGCGCTCCTGAACAAATACGAATAATATACAAACATTTTGTAGATTTTGACGATGCAGACCTTCAAATTGCTACCCTAACTAATATTATGGAAATATATACAGCCGGAAGTAGTGAAAAAGTATAATTTTTTCCTTAAGCTTATATCAAAATTATTTTAGGATACATTTATGATGCGGTTGTTTGTATCTTAAATTAATTATAGATTTTGTTCTACATGTAGGATGTCTAGGCGTATGACCATTTCTTTCTATTTCACAAACTAGAGAAGGTAAATTTATCAAATATGATATCAAATTAAATGGTTTGAAATGTAATGTTGATACTTATTTACATTAACGGACGCCGCGCCGATGATCATGATCTTGATATATGTTTCAGAAGTGATGATACTATTTATCTTTCCTTATAACTTAATCGATGATCTTGTATAGTTTCCGAGTTATAAATAGTAAAATTTATTTTTTTATAATTGTATAGAATAATTATTTAGTATAAGAGACACCTCCAATGACTTTGATTTTGCTATATTATCAAGGCCATGAACGTGAGTGATCTTCACAGGGTTTGGTCGTTATTCATTAAAAAATTAACAAATAAATTTGACAAACACATATATAAATATGTTTAATTTTGAATTCGAATCTCACGTGGAAAGTTATAAATTCATGTAGAACGTCGCTTCATTCTATAGGAAACTCCTAACTCAAACTATAATTTTAATTTTAATTGAATCTTATTTTCGCGTAGAATGTTGTAAACCTAAGTGGAACTTTGCTTATAAAGTGTATACGTGGATGCAGTGAGTTCTGCTCGCTTCTTCCCTTTCTATAGGGGACTTCACTCCCAAAAAAACTGAAAAAATGGATTTGGTTTGGAACTCCATATGATGGTGGAATTTTGATGATACGAATTTATAACTTTTCACGTAACATAAAATAAATGGTATAAATTAATTCAAATCTATCATTAAATTAAAATTAAAAGTTGATTTGAGTTTGGTCATTTTCCTAAAGGAACCACTTCGTTGCAATGAGGGGGGGCGGGGGGGGGAGAGGACGGAATTTGCATTGCATCCATGCATACATTTTATAATGCAAAGCGAGGTCTGCTTTACATTTTTCCTTTACTTATGGTGCAAAACAAATTTTATAATTGTATTTATTAAACAAAATAGCAATTTTATGAAATGCTACACATATATATTTGTTCATTTTGGATTATTAGTGGATAGTTTAACTATAATTAAACGTATCGATATGTAAATAATGTTTTAAGATACTAATATAGCTTTGTAATTAATTTATGATGTTTTAAGACTATACTTAAGACTGACTTATATAAAAATTGACTATGAATACTACCTAAGTAGTACAGAAAATTTAAAAAAAACATGTTTAAATGCAAAAGAATTCTTTTTAACTCTTTGTCCTATCTGGATAGCTATATATTTCTCA